AGTTATGGATTGTAAATGGCACTGTAATTTTTCAATTGGTAATACAGCAACAAAAATACGCTGTTCTTTATTTGATATAATGAACAACCTGGTTCCTCTGAAAACACTGTTATTTTATCTGAAAGCGGTAGTGCAAATAAACTTGATTCAGAGGAAGGACTAGCATTAGCAGAGGCACCTTATAAAACCCCGCCCCGCCTTACTTGAATAATGGCTTGGACCTAGAGCAGGTTAATTTTTTTTAACAATGTTACTATTAGTGTGTTATAATAAGGTTTACCAATGTTGTTAATACTTATTAAATTCTATTTCAGGCCCGTTATTCCTTTAATGTAAATAGACTGGTTAGCTCTTTAGATGGTAATTTATCTAGAAGCATTAGATCAAACGAACCTGGTACTGGATATGGGAAACCATTAGCAGAGACATTCTGCAAAAACAATACTCTGACTTTTTTAAGTCGCTATTCCTTTAATGTAAATGAACGCAGCTCTTTAAATGGTAATTTGCCTGAAATTATTGGATCAAATGAAGTTGGTTCTGTGAGAGGAAATTCATTAAGTCTTAATTCAAGTCAGTATCAGGTTGGTTGATAGTTAAATAAAATCATATTGTTATAGCCGATAAGTATTTATTATATCGATTTACTATTATTATTTAAGACTTATTTGGCCATGAATGAACGTATTGAGACATTTGAAAGTACTCCCGGTCACTTTAGATCACCAGATATCACTAATAGTTCATTTGATTTTCATGTAAGTAGGCTATTTCTGGTTAGTTAAATTTGGTGCAGGTTAAATTTAAAAAAAATCTGATGTGTCAAATGGCATTGCAGTATGCCATTTGACACATCAGATTTTTTTTAAATTTGACCAGTGTGTATGATTATTGTAATAGTACCTGTATTCAACAAAATTTTTTTCAAATCATTGATTCTAAATAGGAGCATAGCTCAGATATAAATTTGCAAACTGCATCAACTTTTTCAGAACCTACGTTTGATAATCAACAAGATGCCTACCATTTACAACTTCAAATTGAATATTCAAATGTTTTCGAATTGTCAGATTCTAGTAGTGAAAGTGAATGCGATAATAGTGGTATTGACAGTCAGCATAAATATATATTTTATATACATGTTAATGATACTTTTGATACTTTTGAAGAGGTTAAAAATCGACTTGACCGGTATGCGATGGAACGTGGATTTGCCGTTAGGAAGGGACGTACTCGTACTCGAGAGGATGGATCAGTGTGGAATGCAACCTGGGTGTGTTATTTGTCTGGGCAATGGAAACCTAAAAAAAATATCGATCCCAATGATCAACGTAATCGTGAAGCGGCAGTTATGGATTGTAAATGGCACTGTAATTTTTCAATTGGTAATACAGCAACAAAAATACGCTGTTCTTTATTTGATAATGATTCAGTTCACAACCATCCTATGGACAATAATATTAGAAGTAATGCTCCAAAGTATTATCGATTGACAAATGAAATGATTAATAAAGTTGAATTATATCTCAAATGTAATATTCAACCTAGTAGAATTATTAACTTACTTGAAAATGAGTATCCTGATCACCCGATTAAGCCGCGAAACATTTATAATGTAATAAGCCGGTTAAAAGTTACAGATAAAGGACTTAAAAATGATGCTGCAGATTTATTAAATCATCTTTTACAACAAAAAAGATTGGACCCTGGTTGTGTAGTTGAACCTGTTATTGGTTATGGTGATAATGAACTGAGAGGTATTTTTTGGCAATCGGATGAGCAAGTGCAATTATTGTCAAGGTTTGGTGATGTTTGCTTATTAGATACAACATGTAAAACAAACCGGTATCGACGACCACTAGCTTTAGTGATTGTAGTTGATAATAATACAAGGAGCTGATTGGTTGCGCAGGCACTGTTGCCAGATGAATCTTTGACTCTTTTAATTGGCTTTTTACATGTTTAAGAAAGGGAAATCCTGCATATGAACCCGGGGTTATTTTTTCTGATTCTGACCCAGCAATAGCCGCAGCAATTTCTAAAAACTTTCTATTAGCCCACCACCACCTGTGTGTATTTCATATTGGTAATAATGTAAAAAAAAAAGCCCGGCAAAAGCTTGGTGAACAATATGACCAATTTATGAGTAGCTTTTATGCTGCGCGAAATGCATTGCAAGTGCCTGTATTTGAGAGTAGATACCAACAATTAATTGAACTATATCCTAATATAGGATCTTATTTGAAAAAACTTTATGAATCAAAAAAAAGTTGGGCTCGCTGCTTTACAACACAGGTCTTTAATGCTGGGATCCAAAGCACACAACGTGTAGAGTGTTATAACAATATTATCAAAAAATGTGTTAATCAATCATCATCTTTAATCAAATTATATAATGTGATTCAGGAGCGACTTGACCAAGAAAATAAATATAGCCGTTCCCAGGAAACTTTGACTTTTAATAATAGTTACGGATCACAATCAATAAGCCGAACGTTGTTTCCTGAAATTATTACATTATGTGAAAAGTATCTTACACCTCATATAACCGCCGAAATAAAGGAACAAATTCAACAAGCACTTTGGTATCGATGTTATTTATTTAATGTTTTACAAAACCATTGTACTGATGAACCTGAGTTTACAAATACTTGTATTGAGGATGATTATGATTCACAACAGATTCATATAAATTCACTTTTAAATAATGTACCATATGACAATATTAAAGAAGCTTGGCGTATTGTTAGACTTAGGGGCTCTATGAATGTTCACTATATTATATTGTTTGATGATGGTTTATTTTTATGCACATGCACTTGGCCTATTACCCGTGGAATTCCATGCCGGCATTATTTTGCAGTTCTTTTAGAGTCAAACATCGCTATTTTTCACATTTTTTTTATAATGCAACGGTGGTTTAAAGACATTTATCTTAATGAACCTGAAGATACCTTTTACAATATTTCAGCAATTAGTCCACATTGTAATAAACCTGCACCTATATTCACACCAGTTTTACCTAATCAGACTATTCTGTTTAGTGACTTTAAAAAACTCACCCATATATGTGAAGCTTCAGGATCGAAAAAGCCAGATAAAAAATTTCTTCAAGACCGAATACGTTATGGCAAAAGTTATGGGTTGCTGCAAACAGTTTTAACATTAGCGATGGAGACTGAAACAAATAAAGAAGTAAACGATTGGTGTTATCAGTTTATCCAGCAAAAAAAAGAGATTTTAAAATCCTTATCTACGAATCAAAATGATCAAGAAAATGTTAATTCAGACAATGATGTTCAGGAGAATGCCGATCAAGAGAATGCTATTCAAGTTACTAATCAGCAGACTGTTCAAGTTACTAATCCAAAGACTACACGGGTTAAAGGCCGACCAAGCCGAAGGCAAAAAAGTATATTGGAATTGGAAAGCAGAAGGCCATTACGAACTATTAATGAGAATTCAAATCAGCTAAACTATGAAGAAAGTTCTAAGCATGTATATACTTGTTCTAATTGTCATGCTAAGGGACATAATATTCGCTCATGTAATTTGCCACGACGTAGTTAATAAACTTTTAACTAGCGTTGGTAAACTTTTAATTAGCATTGGTAAACTTTTAATTAACGTTGGTAAACTTTTAAATAGCATTAGTAAACTTTTAGTTTATAAGCAATATATTGTTGTTTGTATAGCCGTAAGCTAAAAAATTTTACAAATGCATGTGTAGTTAGCAAACTTTTATAATTTATTCTTTATAAATACTTCTTTTTTATTAGTCATTTTTAGAAATTTTAGGAGAAATTAGTAGAATTTTGACGCAGATCGAATAAAATGTCACTATACTAGTAAGAATTTTAGCAGAAACCGTACAGGCTTAATAACAGCGTTGGCTTTATTGGGGAGAACAAGCATTTCGTGATCGTTATCAGAGGATGCGGATGCGGACCTTCGCTCATCATTTGTATTTATACACGCGTTATTAGAATCCGTAATTAGCACCATAATTATCATCTGATGTCGTTTCCCATCTGTTTACCGTTAAATAAGTAATTCATGAGCTCAAATTAATTTAAAAGATTCAAATTACTTGTTATCTTCGAACTTATAAGTGTATTTTATGAATATGATTTTCTATAAAAATTTTTATTAATTGGTCCCTCAGATTAATTATAAATTTTCGGTATTGTGGTTACAAGAAAACCTTGATCTATGATTCCTTTTATATTGTATTGACGTTATAACCCATTCCCGTTCGGAGATCATAATATGTTACCCAATAACAATAGGACTAATGTCGTCACATAGATTTAGACGTCCCAATTACTGTAGTTTGGGTAACATCGCTAATGCGTAAGTACCAGTTGCTTTACAACGGAACACTTCAAAATGGGAAATCACTTAAGACTTAAGTTACACGGATTTCCATCTTCATATATAGATTTCATTTTGGAAAAATTCTTTAAAATTTAAGTCCGGATCTTTCTCTAAAAAAATATCACTGCAAACCAGATTTCAAGATCAGGTGTAACGTAAAAGAAACGGGTACCCTTGGGCATGTTCAACGCTACCAATGATTCTATTAGAAAAGACTAACATGCTAATTGAGTCACACTAAAAGATGCTTAAGCACTATCTTTATCACTTTAATCGACCGAAACTGAACTATCTTGTATAGATCATCTATTTCTATGTATTTCCTGATCAAGTAAATCATTTTCAGCAAATACTTCTTTGTCATGTAATTTATTATAGTTTAATGATTTTAAAAGGATTCGAAAAAATCAAACCAAAAAATCGTTCATAGTTAACATTTTCCACTAACAAAAAGTTTTTCTTGCGAAATTTTGATATTAAGAAGGCACTTTCTAGTTTAACTTAATAGCAAAACTTAACCCTAACTTAACCGCGAAATTTTTTTTAGCCATCAGCAAGTACAATTCTTATAAAATTTATATAGCTCTATATATGGGATCTTTGCGACCCTCCGAAGCATTGTTACACGAATTTTTTATTTAAGAAAAACATAGTAAATATACTTTTAGAAAAAAAAATTCATAGCAAAGACCCCATATAAAGTTATATAAATGTTTATAAAATTTTTATATAGATTTACAAACCCAATGTAACTTTATATCGTTAGAATTTTTATATATATTTTAAGGACATTTTTAACCTGCGCCACTGGTAATTTTTAACCAGATGGTTATAAATAATCACTGGTTATACTTAACCAGTATATCACATTAGTATCTTATATTAGTTACTATATAACGAATA